ATTAGTGCAGTAATTCTAGCACTACCTTCCCATTGCCAAAAATCTCATTTGCAATCTCTGCCTGTGTGTCACATTGTAAGAGAAGCTGTTTCAGCCATCTATCTGTCTTCATACATAACTCAAAAACCACCATCATCTTTTTCTTTGCCAAGATCCACTCTCAAGAGCCTTCAATCAAAAATGACATGCTTTGTCTCCTTACAGTGCATTTACCATCAATAGCCATTTTGAACATCCCCACCCTGCTGCTCCAAGCAAAGTACTTCTCTCAATAATAATAAAAAAAAAACATGAAGGAGAAAGCATATGAATAAGTTAAAAAAAAAACCCACCTGAGGTAGCATTTAAATTTATATTGATAAGTGCACTAAGAATACTCAGTCTTGCCGGGCTAGAATAACAGAAACTTAAAAGAGAAATGATATGTGCTGCAGCATGCAGTGTGCAACCATTCAATAATTCAAACTAGGCGTAGTTTTATTTTAGGATGAATGAACACAATGGAAGGTAGAGGTTCTCTTTCTACCTAGCATAGCTGAGCCGAAAAGGGCATCAGACTCTAAGGAGAGCGGCTTTCAATCAACCTGAAGGCCTCATCCAATTCTGCCTTCTGTCCTTACTAAACTAACCAGATGCCTCTGGAAGTGGTACAGTAGCATCCTAATGACACCAGTATCCCTTGATAACTGTATTTTCTAGGAATTTTGTCAAATATTGTAGAGTTATTAAAGCCATTGGCTATTGAGTTATCTTAACACAAATTCAATACAATCTGTGAAAAAGTATTTCCTTTTGTCTCTCCTAAAATCCATTTGGCTTCAATGGAGTTGTCATATTCATTCCATTCACGTTGCGGACGTTAAAAAAAATCTTCTTTTTCAGAATTTTGATATCCTTAGATGCAATAAACCAAGTGTTTATATGCCACAGATTTGTAATGTTATAAAATTTTCAATTAATTTCTGAGGAATGTAAACATGAAATGTGTTCTTTTCAGAACTACTGTATTACATATTACATATTTTCTCTCACTAGAGTTTTGCTTATTAATCAAGGGGTTCATAAAATTTTTGAAAAATAGGTTCTGCAAAGTAGACATGTTTGAAATCCCTATATCAGCCCTGTTCTGGTCTATCGCTACCAGTTCAAAAGTGTGTGTGTGTATTACTGTTTTATCTACCCAATACATAAGACACTACTGAAAATAATTTTGCTTACTTTATTGAATTTATATGCCACACATCTCATGGTTGAACAATTTTGTTCTATTACAAGCTTGATAATATTGCTTACAGCATTGGAGGTGCCACCAAGTACATAATTTGATTTACACAATAATGTATCAACTAAATGTATAAGCCTTTATTGTATACTGATCTCTTATTTATTTATTCTCCTGTAGGTTGTTAGCAACACTTTTTAAGACTCAATTTGATTTCACTTTCCAAAATGCTCAATTCTGGTATAGTTTTTCCATAGATTCACAGTATATTTTCTTGCTTTCTGCAATTTTTTTTTCTTTAATCATATCCCTCTTACTATCAAATTTCCTTTTTTGTAAATTTCTTAAATAAATCAATAAATCTCCTGTTATTTTCACTTGATGGTTATCTTCATTTCTGCACTGCTTATTTGATAGTGTTGTCTTTTCCAGCTCTTCTGTGAATATAGCATTTAATTAAAAAAAATTTCCTTTGTCTTTGTCACCCGTTGTCTTTTCTTCATTTTTTAACAATAATTTTTATTGAAGTTTAAAAATACAAAGATAAAAAACTAACACAAATTAAGGAAACTATAAAAAGAAAGAAAAGGTAAAAGGTGCAGAAAGAAAAAAAGGAAAGAAGGGAAAAAGAGAAAAAAGAGAAAAAATAAAAAATATAGATTTTCCCTCACAGCAAGACAAATAGGTACAAACATTTTCAGTAACTTAGTATCTTCTCTACAAAAGATCTCTTCATCACATATCTCATCTTTATCTATTAGCAGATAATTAAACCTCATTATTTATCTTAATCACCATTAAGAGCTACCAAAAATAATATATACTCACTGTAAGCAAATCAATTTCATATTTCTTTCCTTTATTGCAGTACCTTATCATTTTCTCTAAAAATACAAAGAAACTCTTCTTCCCTTTTCTTATCTCATATGCATAAACAAATCTTTAAAACGTCATCATTCAAACTTAATAAAGAAAAATTCTATTATAAGCTACCAAAAACAACATATTGAAATTTTAATCTTTAATTCCCTTCAAGCAATGTCCAACAAATTTATTTCCTATATCTTTTCTTCATCTTCTTTCAGTTTTAATACTATAGTTTAACACTTTCTTTGAAAATGCAATAAAAATGATCTTCTTCTATATCTTATCTATAGACAAATCTTTAAAGCCTCAACATTCAGTTCTGCTCAGGATAAAAATTATTAAAAGCTGCTAGAAAAAAATCATATATACTTTAACTTTGGTCGACTAAGCAACTTTATAAACCTTCTTTTCCTTTTCAAAGATCTTGATGTTTATTCCTTTTAAATAAGGATCCAAAAGCTGATTTCTTTTTGCTTTCTTTTCTCCAGAATTTCATCAAAAAGGCACGCCATGCTACTTACCTAGGGCCCCATCCACTTAACAACCCACAAACCTCTTTTGTAATCCAAGCTTCCAAGTCGCTTTTCTGAGTTAAAATTCATATATCCACATATTCTGATTTATTGTATATCATTTTAACTATTAAAATCTCATCCAGTTTCATTCATAGGTCTGATGTAATATCTTTATCAGTATCAACTGAATTCCTTCAATGGGATGCAGATATCGGGCCAAAACCTGAAGATTTCAGCTCTGTTCTTGCAAAGAAGTTCCTTCCTCCATGGAAGAGAGCTGAACTCTCTTGGTAGATTGTACAAACGGGGCTGAAATCCTAAAGGTGGAAGAATGGTGGCAAGATAAGGAAAGTGGGGTGCCTTAGGCAGGTGAGGGAGGCCTGGCTGCACACAACTTTCTCTTTGCTCAGGTTTTGAAAATCTTGCTTGGGGAGGATTTTCAGCTCCTGAGCACAGAGGCAGTGCAGTAAGAAAAGAAACATGGGGTACCTCATGAGGATGGAGGAACTGGTGCAGCCACACCCGATTGTCTCTCTGTTCACAGACAGAAAACCTGCAAGGATTTCAGCATAGGATTTTCTGTTCCTAAGTGGAGCCTCCCAGAGACACCCTCACCCTCCTGAGGCACTCCATGCTCTTTCCCTAGGGCCCCATCCACTTAACAATCCACACAATTGCTTAATGAACCCAAAAGGGAGTGCCAGGATTGTGGTTGTTGAGCAAAGACTCACGTGATGTCTCATTTAACAACCACTTTGCTCAATGACAGATTCCAGTCCCAATTGTGCATATAAGTTGAGCCATTTCCAATAAAAATGAAGTGGACGAACCTAGTGTGCCTTTGAAAGCTCCAAACTGCAGCTTTAGCAAAGCTAATTTTCCTGGCTCTCAAGAGCGCTGAAACTTGGGAGAGATTGCTAAATGTATGGTTTTGTCATGGTCATAATCTATATGGAGCCCGGTGAGCAGTTCCAAGCTCCTTTGTCCCAAGAGGAGTCCAAGCAGCTGATTCCTTCACTGGTTTCCTTTCCACCATGGTTGTCAACTCCGCTTCTTAGAGAGCTGTCTTTAGTTTGCTATTGCTTCCCCAGGAGTCCTTTCCTCAGCTGTTATCAACATGTGAAAGGAAGTATTCTACCTTCTTTTGCTTTTTATATTTTGGGATGTTTTATGTCCTGTAATAATCACATAAATTTGAGTCCACAGCTCTGCTTATGAAATTAATCCATTAAATCCACACTTTCACTACAAAATCAAATAGAATACTGCTGAGACCATATCTTGGTCTTATTATAGATCTGCAGTTTAGGTAACATTTTGCAAGGAGCTTGTGATCTGATTTGCAGTTGGAATTAATTCTGGCTTTGCTACTTGAAAAGAACTTTTCCATCTTTGTGGCTATGTCTGTTGGGTGATGTCCTTTTGTAAAATTGGCTTTTCGATTGCTGGAAGACACTTGTGGTTTCTTTTTTAATAAATCTGACCGAAACTGCTCATTACATACACTTAGGCTAAATTTTCATCTTTTTCCAGACAGTATTTCATTTCCAATCTTAAAATTAGAATACTGCATTTACATTTAAATAAAGATGCCCTCAATTCACTCTCAACATTTGGTCACAATATCCTACTTTTCTTGGCATTATAGGGAAATATCTTGCCACTACATTCTTCTATGATTTTTTTTATTTTCTATTCTTGCTCAAGGATTCCCAGATGTTCCATAATCTTTTAGAGATTAGTTTATTTAACTAACCACCTAACATTAGATTAAAAGCATAAACTATTCTTAGTTCAAAGATCCAGATGGACAAAAGATGCTAGCAAAAACTTCCTTGCTTTCATCTACTGATCGTTCTAATTGTTTTAGGTTAGATATAGGTTATAGCGCTAGTCACGTGAACAGTCAATATAGTTACAATTAGTAGCCATCAATCGATCATGTCTAATTTTCCTCCTTCATGTAGTACAGTAATGGGCTCTATGGGGAAAACATCTCATTACTTGCCTCAAATCTTGTTCCATCCAGTCCCATACAAATTAACCTCAGCGAAAATTTTATTCATTCCTGTTTTGGCCGTAACATCCATCGCGTGTTAACAGTAGTTATAAGAGTTGTAAAATTAAAAAAAAAAAAAAAAGACACAGACGGATCCAACTTCCTTCTCATTTCGCTTTTTAAAATCAACGAATCTCTCATTGATTGTTCATATTATCAATGCAGGGACTGTTGGTGATAGGTGAGAAAAATAATAACAACATCAATAAAATAACATCAAAATTAATAATAACAACATGATGCAGCAGCCTTTGCAAAGGAAATGACCACCGCTTTTAATCAGGCTTTGAAACCTCTAGGCGCCGGATAATGACGTCAGTCTGTCATGGACCCTCACGAGAAGCCTCCACGTGGTACAGTTTCTTGAAAGCATCGCAGTGAAGTTCGGCAGAGCCTGCGACAGATTCTCTTTCGGATGGTGTAAATGCGTTTTGAACGGCTTTTAGGTCCGTAAAAGGTCTGAAGTACCTTCTGAACGGGTAAAGGAACATGGGGGGAGAGGGTTATTATCCGATCAGAGGTAATTAAAAGGACAAGGAAAAAGGCAGCTACAAATGTAGGTATCGTGATGGGCGGCGGCGGATAGAGTAATCGAATCGTCCTTGTTTTTCCTTTTCCTGATCATGTTACTAAAGCTGTTTTCCACGTGTCATGAATCCGCGTTGTAAGGCTTCATCCCTAAACACATTTATATTTATTTCTGCTTAAATACCAATCCTTTATAAGCCTCGGGGTGGAATTCACGCTTAGCCTTATGAACGCCGATCTTGGATATTATCCTATCAATAGGCATTTTCGGAAGTTAGGCTAAAGTATTGTAACTGGCTCAAAATCACCCAGAGAGATTTACAGGTGACCAAAATGACAACGATGTGGAGGAGGGGGAATTCTAATTTGATTGGGACAGTTTAGCTTGAAATTTATAAAACACTGCATGGCATGAAGAAAACGGACAGGGAGAAATTTGTCTCCCTCTCTGGGACGAAAAAACCCTCTAAGACTGATTCGAAGAGGATTAGAACAGGCAAAAAAAGAATTTAATTACACAATATGTGCAGTACCATACAATCAATAAGGTCCACTAATATGATTTTAAAAGTTTGGATAAGTTTAATGGGGAAAAGCTGATTAAAAGCTATTGTTTAATTTTTATAAATTAAACTCTTGAAAACTTGGATTGAGGCAGCATGCAGTTTCAGGGAAGAAACAGGAGAGGAAGGATGTGCTTTCACTTCCTGCTTCTGAGGACTCCAGAGGCATTTGTTTGTTGTGACAAATGAATCCTGGACTCAAGTAGATTAAATTTTTACAATATAACATTGAAATTGTAAAAAATCTACAGGGTATAGTTATGATTGGCAAGTTAGTCCAAGAAAGATATTGATGTATTCCCCAAAAGCATAACCTTTAAAAAAATTCAGGATAGGTTTCATTGCGGTAGCAAGAGGTTAGACCTATCACTTTTACTTTTCAGGTGTCAGAGTTTCTTTTATTCACAATGTTGTAACTTCAGGCAGTCAAGAACACAGCAATCCCAAATGTTAAAAACCACTTCCTGATGAGGACATCAGTGTAGAAGACCTAAATTCAACTGTTCACTCAGCCATGATGTTTAATATATGTTGTTGGGATAACCATACACAATAGTGAAAATAAAGTTGGAAGTGGCAATGCATGATATTGGGTGTTCTGGGGAAACGAAGCAGAATAAAAATGATAATGAACAGTATAATAAAAATTAAGTTAATGGCTGAATACACATATACTAAGCATGATGAGGTTTAGTAAGTTATATAACCACTCATTTTGGTTTATAGCTTAGCTCAGGTTGAAGTCAGCCAGTTATGCATTATTCAGTAAACCATAGTTGGGCGAATCATGGCTTGGCATGCTGGAGGAATCCTATCAGCTTTACAGTTTCACCAACCTAAATAGTTACTTTAGCTATAAAATTAATATTATCGTGCATTGTTATGAATCCCTTTTTAATTTTCACTAATATTTCAATGGTATTTCGTATACTGGTATATTTAAAACTGTCTCTGAATCCTTTTTATAAGGGAATATATTCCAAACATATTTCTTCTGCTTCTTTTATCTGTGTAATTGATATGCATATTTTAACAGTATTCCTTTTCTACACTCAGTTTTTTTAATCTCGGTTCATTGCTTCCCACCAACTTTTAAATCCTTAGACCAGAGTGCAGTTGCCAGTAATTATATAAATTGTATGTGAATAATGCTTGCAATTAAAAATCTACAACTGAGACCAAATTTGAGGAGATTGCTGTACAGAACAAAATATGCAGAACCAAATGTTCAAAAACAAAGAAGAGAACATAGGCATATGAAGGCCATATTGAGGCCTGTTGAAGTAGGAGTATTTATAGGACAGATTTTTTTCCTTCTTCCTAAGAGAATTATTTACAATCAAGTTCCAATAGTTGTTAACGTTTTTAAAAACTGGACTTTCAATATTGTTAAAGATAAACTATAATTTCTACTCATAATATGTACAGGTAGTCCTGGACTTACAATCATTCATTTAGTGACTGTTTGAAGTTACAACAGCTCTAAAAAAAGTAACTTATGACCAGTTTTCAAACCTACAATTGTTGCAGCAACCCTGTGGTCATGTGATCAAAATTATATATATATATAGTGTGTAAAGGTAAGTATGGCTGAAGAGAGTTAAGAAACTCGAAATAGCTATCCCATTCTCCCTTAATTCTTTGTTAGCAATCCAAATTTTTTTTATATAAATGGAATGGATTGAAGAATAGAGACAATCGGAGAGGCAAGGAGTTTACATCACCTGCCTCAGAATCCAAAGAAAAGAAGATAGATGAAGATATACACGTAGCTAGGAAGGACAGAAAGAAACAAATCACCGGAGCACAATTTAACCAATTGGGTCCAGTGACGAGATCGAGGAGCCGAGTGCAGACTTCGGCCTGCCTATAAAATGACTCTCTCTCACCCTGGCGGTCCAGCCCTGATGATGCCGGCAGGTGACGGCGAAAGCTTGGCGTTTTTAAATTAAACTTTTTATAGTTTTAATTAATACATTGGTGTTCATTTTATTTTGGAGATATATATATATATATATATATATATATATATATATATATATATATATATATATATATGTAGGTCTTTGGTTGTTCGGGTTTTCTCCCACGTAAAATTGGAAGTGTCTTGGCGACGTTTCGACGAAGTCCCATTCGTCATCTTCAGGCTGGTGCTTTCAGCTTCGTGCCTCGAGCAGCATATATATATATTATATATATATATATATATATATATATATATATATATATGGTACAAATAAAATACGAACACCAGGAGAGTATAAATATAAAAATATACTTTACTAAAAGCTGCCAAGCTTTCGTTTGGAAACTCCAAACATCATCAGGGCTAAGGAGCCAGTAAACAATGATGACTTAAATGGGTTTTGCCGGCATCTGCACCCGGCTCATGGACCGCGTCACCGGTCCCGGCCGGTTAATTAGTGTTCCAGATGTTTCTTTATTACTCTCCTTACGCTTCCTTCTATGGTTCTTCCGGATCATTCCTTCCACTATCTCATTACTGGTATTCATCTCCTCCACCACCCCTTTATCCTTATTTCCTTCCATAGCACTGACCCTCCTTCCCTTTTTGTTTTCATTCTCCACCCTGGGGGCATCTGTTTCTCCTCTATCAGTGTTACAAGCTTCCCTGGGCTCACCGACGCTCCCCCACACACACGCTTTTCCCAATCCCTGCTCCACACCCTTTCTTCTCACTCTTCCACTGTCATGAGTAACTTTCATACGGGTGTTACATATTTGGGGGTCTATGCCCTCCTCCTCTGTCCTGGCAATCTTCGTGTCGACAGTTCTCCACCGTTCCATTTGTTTGCTGCGTGATCGGGTGCTTACCCCGTCTCTCAATTCATCCCTCCTCCCTATCGCACGCTCTTCCCCATTGCTGATTAGGAACGGTATTCAGGCGGACACCAGGTCTCCAGATCTCTGCATTCTGATTCCCTGCGTTCTCACTCCCCTCTTCTGTGCTCGTCTTTGGGGGGACTTCAAAGTGTTCGTCCCGGGAGGGGGCTGTATTGTTGGTGGGGGTATTCCTTGTCTGCAGGGAATCCAGGCAGAATTCCGTGTCTCTCCCTTTCACCGTATGCCTAGGCAATCGAGCCATGCTTTCGTTCTTCTTCTCCCCTCTACCCACAGCGTCAGGCTGCAGGCTCCTCATGCTGGATCTTCCACACTCTCCACAGTTGTTGTTAAGTTCTGGGGGTGGGGGTCTATCATGATGATATTGGGGGAGGGGGAGGTCTTCCATCGGTAGATGATTACATGTGTTTGACAGTGGTAACCTCCTCAGACGTTCATTAGAGCGGTATTGGCCTTATACCAACCCAAATTTTGGGTTCGGTACGTGGATGACACGTTTGCGGTTGTTAAAAAACAACATGTAGCTACCTTTATGAGAGTACTTAACTCGATCTGCTCCGACATCCAGTTTACAGTGGAGGAAGAAAAACAAGGTCACCTAGCCTTCCTGGACGTGTCAATATACCGTCAGTTGGATGGGACGTTACTTACAGGGGTGTTTCGTAAACCCACCCACACGGACAGAATACTCCACTATAGGAGCAACCACCCCGTATCTCATAAAGCTAGCTGCATTAAAGCATTGTTTAAGCGCGTGGACTCCCACTGCAGCACTGAGGAGTTTAAGAAGAAAGAAAGGCAATACCTTTTCCGGATTTGCCAACGTAATGGGTATCCTTTGAGGTTTATCAGACAGTACGGTCTTACACCCCAGTCCCGGAACAACCAAAAGAGAGAGGAACCATCATTACAAAGAATGCGTGTTTCTTTGCCACGTCTCGGAGGCAACAGCCAGACTGCTGGCCCCCCATGGAATAGAAGTGGCCCACAGACCCAATCAGACATTACGGTCCAAAGTCGTTCGCCCCAAGGACCCACTCCCTGCCATGGATGGATCAGCAGTAATCTATAAAATCAATTGCAAGAACTGCGATGGCAACTATGTGGGTGAAACAGCTAAGCGTTTAAGATCTCGCTTGCATGAACATCAGTTAGCTATAAGAAGGGGCGAGCAGCATTCTCAATTGTGGATGCATATGGCACAACATGGCCACCAGTTTGACTTTGTGAATGTTTGCATTATGTCTGAGGATGCCACTAAGGGAGGCCGGCTATTGAAAGAGGCGTGGTATTCCAACAAAGATGCGGTTAATCGTCACATTGACTTACATCCAGCTCAACAAGCATTGAGGAAATGGGATTTTAAACACCATGCCAATTATTATAAGCGGCCTGAACAATGCTTGCACAGCTGTAAACGTGACGGGATACCTGGCCTCCATCCTGAACAGATAGATGGAACTTTGGCCAACCCTCTACATTCCAGGGACACCCCAGTTTCGCCCGATCAACACCAATACCGCTCTAATGAACGTCTGAGGAGGCTACCACTGTCAAACACACGTAATCATCCACCGATGGAAGACCTCCCCCTCCCCCAATATCATCATGATAGACCCCCACCCCCAGAACTTAACAACAACTGTGGAGAGTGTGGAAGATCCAGCATGAGGAGCCTGCAGCCTGACGCTGTGGGTAGAGGGGAGAAGAAGAACGAAAGCATGGCTCGATTGCCTAGGCATACGGTGAAAGGGAGAGACACGGAATTCTGCCTGGATTCCCTGCAGACAAGGAATACCCCCACCAACAATACAGCCCCCTCCCGGGACGAACACTTTGAAGTCCCCCCAAAGACGAGCACAGAAGAGGGGAGTGAGAACGCAGGGAATCAGAATGCAGAGATCTGGAGACCTGGTGTCCGCCTGAATACCGTTCCTAACAGCAATGGGGAAGAGCGTGCGATAGGGAGGAGGGATGAATTGAGAGACGGGGTAAGCACCTGATCACGCAGCAAACAAATGGAACGGTGGAGAACTGTTGACACGAAGATTGCCAGGACAGAGGAGGAGGGCATAGACCCCCAAATATGTAACACCCGTATGAAAGTTACTCATGACAGTGGAAGAGTGAGAAGAAAGGGTGTGGAGCAGGGATTGGGAAAAGCGTGTGTGTGGGGGAGCGTCGGTGAGCCCAGGGAAGCTTGTAACACTGATAGAGGAGAAACAGATGCCCCCAGGGTGGAGAATGAAAACAAAAAGGGGAGGAGGGTCAGTGCTATGGAAGGAAATAAGGATAAAGGGGTGGTGGAGGAGATGAATACCAGTAATGAGATAGTGGAAGGAATGATCCGGAAGAACCATAGAAGGAAGCGTAAGGAGAGTAATAAAGAAACATCTGGAACACTAATTAACCGGCCGGGACCGGTGACGCGGTCCATGAGCCGGGTGCAGATGCCGGCAAAACCCATTTAAGTCATCATTGTTTACTGGCTCCTTAGCCCTGATGATGTTTGGAGTTTCCAAACGAAAGCTTGGCAGCTTTTAGTAAAGTATATTTTTATATTTATACTCTCCTGGTGTTCGTATTTTATTTGTACCATAGACATGCCCAGGAGTCGTATTTTTATGCAAATTTTCCAGCATATATATATATATATATATATATATATATATATATATATATATATATATATATAATACTATTAAGAATATATATATATTCTTAATAGTATTAAAAACACAAATCCCAGGTATACACATAATGTGAAGTAAAATAAGGTGATCACCAGGATAAAATCATAAACACAAATGTTTAATCTACAAAACCAAGCTTTTGTCGGCCACACTACCGACATCGTCAGGGTATAAAATGCTGAGTCCCGGAGTCCGTTTTTATGTGGCTGGCTGCCCCTGCGCTTTGACCCTGGTTCGGGTCATAGGTCTGCCTATCAGCATCGGCTGTGTAGTTCTTAAAGGGGCCGTTTCTAAAGTTGTCCTCCCCTCTCTAATTGCTGTTGTTTTCTTTGTGCGTGTGTGGGTGCCTGGAGATCTGCTGTTCATCCACTCCCGGTCGTCCCTCCCCACCCCCTCATTCATCTTAATTGGCCTCTGTATTGCTGCATTATCTAGCGTGTATGCTTCAAGCTCTGTTCCTCTATTTGCCAGCCCTATTGCTTTTCTTGCCCGTGTTTAACGAGACTACCAACCCCCAGAAGTTTACACACGGGCAAGGAAAGCAACTTGACTGTTAATTATTATTGTCCTTTTTTTCTTGTTAAAATATAAATCAAGACAACACGCTGTACACCAGGCACTGAAGATTTTTATAGTTAAAAACCAATAAAATATCTATTAAAAAATTAATCTGTATTCAGATGGCAATTAGACAGAAAAAGAGTTTAAAATTTGTAAAGAAATGGGAATCACACTGAATAGTTAACTAGAAAAATGAATATTTTTTTTAAGCTTTTAAGTTTTAAACTGTCTCCTATTATGGAAACCTAAAATGGGAACTCAAAATTTTGCTATTTTTCCAAAATGAACTAGCAAAATGAATATTTGTACTTCAACCTCATCCTATTTAGCCCTGCATTTATAATTGAAGACATTAATTGCTTAATTAAGAAAAATCATACTGCAAAGCTTAGATTTTAATCAAAGCTGCCATCTGTGAATATTTTTCCAGCACTGTTGTTCCTTCTCTGATCCCAGCATGAGTACAAGAATTTCAAAGGACACATAAAACTTCTCTGCAGAAAAAAAAGGTTCTATATCTTAAATTCCATTTCCATGTAAAGGAGAAATCAACTAGATGTTACTATTGAGTATTTTTTTTATTTTTTAAACTATTCCTTTAGTAAAAAACACTCTTAAATATTATGATGATTGAATTTCTTAAGGCAGAAATGTTGGCTCTTAACAACCAACAGTTACATAGCTCCAAGACTGAAAAGCAAAAAGCTAAATATCTGTTATAATTAATAATTACTGTGAGTATAAGGCAGACATGTCAAACTCGTGATGTCACGTGACGTCGCGCAATGTATCGGGACAGTTTTGCCATTGCCGGCAATGGGGTGGGTGTGGCTTCCGGATGATGCGTCCAGCCACGAGTCGGCAGTTTGGCACCCCTGTTATAAGGAGAGGCTCCACATTAATAGAGAGCAGTTCAGCTTGCTGGTTTCACCTTAACATGTAGTAATATTCTTACCTAGCCTTGCCATGTTGAGTAATTTCTGACTGAGATGTGGCAGTCTGACAGATAGGTTAAAGACTCTTGAATGAAAATTCCATATTGATGGGGCAGTAATTCAATCATCTTCAGCTGTCTGGCTCAGTTACAAACTAGTAGCCTTACTTCCAGTGTTTCTCTTTGTCCTTTGTTTAAAGGTCCACTATGAAGCTTAAAAGAAACAAGTTTAAAGCATCATCTAAACTGAAACAAAAAGGCATCAAAGTTACCGGGCAATGGAAACCCATTGAGATTGATCCAAATCTCTTTGCTGATGAAGAGCTTGGAGGCATAATATGTTTTGAAGAGCTTACCGATTACAAACTGGTGTCTTCCTTGAAAGAGGGAGAAGAAAAGGCTGCCAAAAGAAAATGCAACGATGAACAGATTGAAAAAGTATGTAGTGCCACTCCCCCCAAAAAGAGAAAGAAGAAGAAAAATTTAGAACATGGAGAAAGAAAGAAGGAGGAACTTGAAATAGAGGAAAAAGTAATTGAACAGGAGGTCAGGTGCAAAAAAGCCATTGTTAAATATGAGCAAAATGATTATGAGCCAACGGAGCTGACGGGCCTGGAAAGAAAACCCCCAAAGAAAAAGAAGAGAGGGAAAAAGAAGAAACCATGTTCTCTCCAAAATGTTCTTGAACCAACTGGAGCTTCCAAAAAAGCTAATAACTGGGCAGCCAAAGTCTTATCCACAAAATCAGATCACAAAACGGATGTTACTGCATGGAAGAGCCTCTTTGTCCCTAAGCCTGTCCTTTGGGCATTGAGTGAATTGGGGTTCAGTACACCAACTCCCATCCAAGCACTAACTCTACCATCTGCAATTCGAGATAGCATGGATATCCTTGGTGCTGCTGAAACAGGTATTTTTCCATATCGTAAAATAATTGAAATATGAATAGTAAAATACTCTGTTTGTGTCTACTTGTTTCTACGGTTCTAGATTTTGTAATTGGTAAATTGAGAAATGCACAGCAAAAATGTGAAGACTCATTCCTTTTTTGTTTGAGAATGTAGAGTTAACTTTGAAAATATTTGAACAGGGCCTGGAGAAACTAGAGAGGGTGAAATAAGCAATAAGGACTGCAGTGATCTACTTTATTCATTTCAATCACTGGAATAGGAGCAGTGTGTAACTTTATTCAGTAACTGAATTTAGCCCTTAGAATAAAATCTGGGTTGCTCTTTTTGTTTTGTTTTTATGGAGAGAATGCATAATTCTGTCTGTTGTTAGCATATTTATATAGCGCAATTGTTTGTGCTGCTTTGGCACATACTGGTCCCTTAACAAAAAAACAGTAATATTTTTTTTCTAGCTTATCTGGAAAGACTGACTCATCCTCAGAATTCAAGATAGTTTCTCTGATGTGCTTCATTATTGATCAAAAGGAAGTTTCTAAAATTCTGAAATATTAATATAAGTATTAATTACAATAATAACTGATACTATTCTATTTCCTGCTATCCTTGTCGAAGGATAAGACATAAGTGTAATAGTCTCTTTTCATTCATGTTGCCTTTCACAGGGAGGGATTTACAGTGTGGAACTTTCTTTTTTAAAAAGAGATAATGTTCAACCTTTAAAAGAGACAAGGATTAACCTTCATAGAAGCAGTTGGATTATTCAACATATAACATTTGCTTTATTAATGCATTTAATGAATTAAATATTACTTTACATCTTGTTCTTTTCCTGGTTCCATCCACTTTTTGAGTGCAGTCCCGAAAACATGGCATCTCACAGACCGGTCATTGGCCACTCAAAAGTGAACCCTTGTTTTTATAATGTCTTCAATAGCTAAAAAGATCAGAAAAATCCCTTGGGTGAATTGTGTAGTAGCAATTGTCGTTTACAGGGACAATTGGTGTTTTAAGGCAGGGCTTTTCAACCAGTGGTATGGGTACCATCTGTGGTACATTGGTACCTGGCAGGTGGTACGCGACCATCCTAGAAAAGTGGTAGTGGGGGAGGGGAATGAGCTGAACTGGTGGCAGCACCGCACAAGCCTGAGTGAGAGATGGCTGGAGCTGTAGGACTGTCGGGGCTCAGCGGAAGAGCCAGGATGAGTGCCGCTTTCCAGCTGATCGGTGCTTCTTTGGGGCTGTCAGGGCTCAGCGGAAGCGCCAGGATCAGCACCAGGCTCCAGCTGGAGCTCGGCGCTGATCCTGGTGCTTCTGCCGAGCCCAGAAGAAGCGCCGATCAGCTGGAATGTTGCAGCATCTCCAGGGTCTTGTGATTTACATTCAGATGCTTGGCAACTGATTCATATTTATGATGGTCACAGTGTCCCAGGGTCATGTAAAGTGACCAAAACCTGCTGCAACCAGCCAGCAGATTGGAGAAATAAAAACCAAACACCCCCCACCGCACCCCTGCTGCCAATCCTCAATAGAAATGCTCACAACAATAAAAACCTCAGACAGGAGGAAGAGCACCACTGGATGGGCAGGCGTTTTGCTCGGCTGTGGCTGGGGGGGGGGGCACTTTTTTCAGTGTCATTGTAACTTTGAACAGTCACTAAACAAACTGTTGTAAGTCAAGGACTACCTGTACTTCATCACTTTTTTCCTTTTTTTTTTTGTTTGCCATCAAGTTTTTGACACCTTTCTAGGCGACTGGTGGTACCAGATGTTGCCATATCCTAAAAGTGGTTCAATGGGTGAAAAGGTTGAAAAGCCCTGTTTTAAGGCATAACATTGGCTTCCCATATGCCCTAATATTGATGTTTGTGTGTGTTTTAGGGAGTGGAAAGACTCTAGCTTTTGCCATTCCAATGATCCATTCCATCCTACAGTGGTACAGATCAAAAAATAGGACAACCAGCACACTTGAAGAAACAGCGGACAGTGAAGATGAAATGGCAGAGCAGGATACAGGTGAAGAAACGAGGAGACTAAATTCAGATACGGATGAAACTGGTGCTCCTGCAGATTGCAATGAGTCTGTGACAGTAAACTCCATGGAGTTATTGCAGGATTCAGGATATGATGTGGATTCCCCAAAACAGAATTCTGTTAAAGATAAAAATAATCCTCTTCTGGGATTGGTCTTGACTCCTACAAGGGAACTGGCTGTCCAAGTAAAGCATCATATTGATGCAGTGGCCAAGTTCACAGGTATGTCTCTTCCAAATGTGCATAATATAAGAATATTGCTTCAGGTTTCCTATCCTAATATTTAATTTTTCTGCAGAACTCCTTTTCCCTTCTCTCCAGGAAAAGTATAGAATATGATATGGAATGCAACTCTAGCTTTCTGAGAGGATCCTCGCTTTTTTTTTTTTTTTTAAGATACCTAATTTTCATTTTTGCTGTGAATTCATGCTTAGCTTTCAATACTAGCTGAGATATTGCTGTCTTGCTAGCTTCTTTTCCTGACCCTGAGTAGCAAAAAACAAGCTTCTTCAGAATAGAGAAGATTGTTATTGATTTGTTGAGATATGGATGCAATCTACATTCTATATAAAGCCTATTCACAGGTAATGAAACAGATTAGTTTTTTGTTGTTGCTGTTCTTAAAGACAGAATGTAAACGAATGGATTTAAATTACAAGAAAGCAAATTTAAATGTTAGGAGGACTTCCTGACACTGCAAGCTGTGTTTGCTCCCATATGTGAAGACCTCTCTTTGTGAGGAATTTTAAACAGAAGTTGGATGAGCAGTTATCGGACATAGTTGAGTATATGTTCTGCATTGATGGGAGTTGGGTTTATATGGCTTTTCAGTTTATTTCTATCTCTGATTACCTGTTAAGATTTATGAATAGATCTTTGGACTTGTTCCTGTGACAGAGTATAATAGCTTGATCCTTATTAAATCAATGAGGAACATAGGTAACTATTATGGCAGATCTGAGTATTTTTCCACTTAGTCCATAATTGCCTACAAGTCTGCATGCAAAGCGCACTGGCCTACAATTGAGCTATTACTGTATCTCCTTGATTTATTTATGAGCAGTACAATTAGAAGTATTTGCAAGGGAATGCTAGTGGTAATCCCTATAAAGAGTTTTGCCTGTTAATGCAGTATCTAAAAACCCCTTGTCTTGCTCCATGAAATATTATTCTGTGTTTTTAATCACATATTCAGAAACATGTAGAATAAATTGACAGTGCCATATTTTTCAACTCTGATCAGTAATGATCTTAATGACTTGAGAACAGTCACACTTTCTGACAAATAAATCTTTTAAATGTACATATCATATTGTAGTTTTTTATTAAATAATTGAAGAAGTTAACATGCCGATAAATTGAACTTTTACATAGATTAAAAATCAGCAGAGATTCTGCAAAAGTAGATCTTACCTTCCTCATTTTTACTGAAGATATCAACATGGACATGAGTGGAACAATGTTTATTTACTTTTTAAATCACATGTTTAAGGCCACCCATCTCACAGAACTGACACTCACTGTTGTACAGGTGTATTTTTTAAAAAGTCTTGAAAAAGTTCTTCATCAAAGGCTCTTGAATAACTTTAATTACCATGGGATTAGATTTTTTTTTATGAATTGCTAAATGGTTAAAAATAAGGAAGCAAATAATAGGGATAAATAATCAGCTTTGTCAGTGGAGGAAATTAAAAGCTGAATTTCACATGGCCCTGTGTTGAGACTTCTACTTTTAAACTTAAACAGTCTTGATTTAGAAGTAAAAAGTGAGCTTGTCAAATTTGCAGGTAAGATCAAAATGTTTTCTAGAAAGATCTGTTTAGAAGGGATCAATAGTCAAACAAATGGCAAAGGCAATTCAGTTCAAATGTAAAATAATATATATATGGAGAATCTCCTAATTTCAGCTGTATGATGAGGAGAATTTGATTTTTTTTCCCATCATGGGGAAGTTAAGGAGCAAAAGGGATACCTAAAGCTTTTCCAAAAACCAAGGTGACATTCCCAGTTATGTGCCCCATATTCTTTGGACACTGAGCTATCTGTCACCCAGGGCCTTGTCACAAAGTAAATGTCATTATTCTTCTGCTAGAAATACCCTAGAGTTGAATATAAGATAGCAAGGGCAGTGATTTTGTTCATTACTTTGCTCCAGGTATTAAAACGGCCATTCTTGTTGGAGGAATGGCTTCTCAAAAACAGCAGAGGATGTTGAAGAGGAAGCCAGAGATTGTCATCGCAACTCCAGGGCGCCTGTGGGAGCTAATCCAGGAGAAGCAGCCCCATCTCTGCAATCTCTGGCAGCTCAGGTATTACAGGGGTCTCTTCAAGGCTGAAACTCTTGATGTACTTATACATTTCCAGGTCTTAACAAAAAATATGGTTATGCAGAATCATTGAGACTCTTCCTTGAGTTCAAAATTGTCACATTAGTAATTGAGTTACTTTTTAAAATAGGTATGAAATAATATTGCAATCGAACCAGGAGATTTCATAGCACTTGTATCATTAACAGTTGCAGAAGTGGGTTTGTGTTTTTAAAAATGCTTAATTGCTTTATCAGTTATGAAAATTTGTTTTTGCCTTTGTAAATATAGGGAGAGCTTAGGTTGAATTATGTCTATTGCTCTGGTGAATTTTTTTTTTTTAAAAATCCTTCAAGTTTTCTGACATCAAGGGCATTTTCACAAGAGCTATTCTTATTGATTGTAGTAATTAGAACAATTTTTAGAAAAAGCAGCAATCGCTCTGATAATCGGACCCTAAACTGTTTGGGCCAATCACAGCTTAAATTATCTCAGTAAGCACTTGGCTATTGTACGATATCATGATCGTATTTAATGTTTTAATATTTTTTATATTTATGTTTTAAATGTAATGATTATATCTAAATGATAAATATAAACACTGCCCAGAATAAACTGTCCAGAATTGCTTTTTAGAGGGCAGCAGGTACATTTAATAAATAAATAAATATGCTTGTTAACAGTTCAGCTGCTGCATTTTGCAACTTTCAGTCGCTTTTTAAGAGTTGCCCACACTGGATGCCTTACAGTAATCAAATTGGTGGCAATTAAAGTTTGGATCTACTCAGAAAATAATAACTGATAAGCTAATCTTAATTGTATCAAGGTGCATGATGATAACAGTGTTTTTTTTTATTATTGGTCAATCAGATTCCTCATTTCTCTTAAATATTTTACTGTCCTGTTAACTGTAATTGGAGATAAACATTATGCTATGGGTCTGATTGTTGGTTCACATAATATGTGAACTCAGCTAAGTATGGTTTATACAGTATATTGCATAACTCTTGTACATTAACAGATTTGCTGAACAGCCACATGGTTCACTTAATGATTGTGGTGATTTGCTTAATGACCCATGAGAAACAAGGTCATAAAATTAGATGTGACTCACTTAATAATCCCATTGCACAGCAACATAAGTTCTGGACTTAACTGTGGTCATGAGTCAAGGACTACCTGTACATCATTTTATTATATGTCTGGGTTTTTCTAGGATATTCCCTTAACTTGTTGTATATCAACAAAAATTGATAACCCATTTATAATCTGAAAGCTGCTGATAGGTGCAATGAAGACAGACAGACAGACAGACAGATATTATGGGAAGATGCTGTTTTCAGAGTATTTTAAATAAGTGTGAGCGCATAATCAGTGCAGGAACATTGGAAATGTCCTGATGGGATCAAGCTAAGGACATGCTGTAGCTGCTATGGGAAAGAAAATTAGGCTTTTCTGAATCCTCTTTCATTTTCAAATGTCTTGTATAAAATATTTCAAACTGTCTTGCATCCATCCGACAGATGCCTGGTGATTGATGAAGCAGACCGGATGGTGGAGAGGGGACATTTCTTAGAGCTGTCTCAGTTGCTGGAAATGTTGAGTGACACACAACATAACCCAAAACGTCAAATATTTGTCTTCTCTGCCACCCTGACTTTGATCCATCAAGCTCCCACTAGAGTTCTGCAGAAGAAAAATGCTATCAAAATTGACAGGAAGACCAAGCTGGAAATGTTGATGCAAAAAGTGGGCATCAAGGGAAAGCCCAAAGTGATAGATTTGACCAGAAAAGAGGCAACTGTGGAGACTCTCACGGAGACCAGAATTCATTGTGATACAGAAGAGAAAGATTACTACCTTTATTATTTTCTGCTTCAACATCCAGGCAGAACCATGGTTTTTGCAAACAGTATAGATTGTATCAAACGACTTACTGCACTCTTGACCATCATGGACTGCAATCCACTGCCTCTTCATGCAAACATGCACCAGAAGCAAAGGTTAAAAAACCTGGAGAGATTTGCAGAACGCAACAGGTCAGCATCTAATTCTTTTTTAAAAAAATAAGATTTTTATCCCACCTTTTTTTTCATATACAGCTCAAGGCCGTGAACATACCAATTACTCTTTTGTCCTCCTGTTTTCCCCACAACAATCCTGTGAGGTGAGTTGGGCTGAGAGAGCGTGACTGGCCCAAAATCACCCAACTAGGACAGATCTAAAACTCACAGTCTCATGTTTTATAGTTCAGCACCTTAACCACTACACCAAAGTGGCTCCCTAAATTTAAAATAAATTAATAATACAATAAAGAATAATAAAGAATATATATAGTTTATATAATATAAATAAATATATCTATGTATGTATACACACACATTGACATACACTCGTGCTAAATTTATTTAACTTATGTGCTTGTTTTCTCTGTTAACTATGATTTGTCCAAAATGGATCACTTTTGTGTTAGGTCCAAAAAAGCAAAAAGAACAAGAACACTCAGGAATTCTCCACAAACAAATGAAGTAAATAGAATAAAAAGAGGTTTTGACAATTCATCCACAGTGGCAAAAGCTGCTAGAATCTCTCTTGAGAGAGAATAACGTTATATTACTTTTTAAAAATAATTCTTATTTTAAGAAATGCTGCCTTCATCCAGCTCGATAGAATTAGTAGCCAACCTTACCTGGCTGGGAGATCACCAGGAAATACTCTGGCTGTGGATTATAATGGGAAATAGAAAACCATCCCAAAATGAGGCAGTGGCAAAAACCAATTTTGTTCTGTTGCTAAGGAAACTACTTCTGTTGCTGTGGAGTTACCAGGAATTGAATTTTACTCACCGAAGACTTTACTTTTCTAAACCTGAATATACTACTACATTATGAATGAATTATATCCATTAATCATAATTGACTTATTTATTTGCTTTGTTTTTTTCCTGCTTTTTCTAGTTAAGATAGCAAGTTAAACTAGAGTTTAATCCATTGCGTAAACTAACAGGGAATCTTCCTTTTTATGGTGTTGCCTCGGCCGGCCCAGGATTTCTTGTGTACTTTTAAATTCATCTTCACAGTCTAGAGTAGTTTCAGTATTAGGAGCTGTAGTGTTGAGCCACTAAATTTTAATTTTTTTGCAAATATTTTGATTAAGTCATTTGACAGCAGAATTTGGCTAATTTGTTAAACACAAGCCTTCTTGTTCATCTAACAAACCCCCAAGTATTTTTGTATATGATACTAGTGCAATGGAAACTCTGAAAAAAAAAACTATTAAAAAAGAAGATTCAGATTTCCAACTCACCTTACTTAGGGTTTGTTTTTTATTTGTTTTTTTATTTACTATTTTCAGATTTCCCATTTCCAGCACACATCCCCATCTGATATACAAGCATGTGCCCAAATTTTCCGATTTGACCATTTCTCTTTCTTTATCATGTCTCTCTATGACTACCTGCTCTTATTGAAAGTTGACACCATCTGGAGATTTATGGATAATTGTATATTTAGAGCTGTCTTTATTGTGAAATGGGTCAGGGTAAAAAGATAGGTCAACTTTTCCTAATATGGTCACCTCTAGAAACACTGAATTCTATTCAATAGGCACAGTGGCTAGGGAGAATGGGAATTGTAGTTTTGAAAAGGTAGCAAGGATCCAGCTACCAGGCCATGCGTGGTTGAGGGAGGGCAAGGTACAAGAGACTTTTTTTTTTTTGCATCATCTCTTTAAATATAATTGTGATTCAAAAAATGTTAGAAATCAGTATATGCAATGAGGCATAAAGTCTAAGGAAATACGTTTTAACGCAACATTTTAGAAGAATCCAATCAAAGTTTTTAAAACAGTTCATATACTATTAGATTATCTTCTGCCTGTCTTGGTCCACTATGCTTTAACTTAATCTCTTTATCTTGTGACATATTCACAGATTGTATTTTGCTGGGTCAACCCACCTGGCCATCTGGTAGAGTGTGGTTGAGAACATTGTAAAGAGGTGTCTCCCCCCCCCGTTCTGTTTAATTAAACTGCTGCTGTCCTTCTGTAATTTCAGCTGTCCCCTGTTGACAACAGATGTAGCTGCTCGTGGTCTTGATATTCCTTATGTACAGCATGTCATACATTACCAGGTACCAAAACAAAATGTCTCTCTCTCCAGCTATTGCTTGCAATTATGTTTTATGCAATTTTTAAAAGGCCAGATGGGTTTTATGGTCTCTTCATGAGTTTTAACATGGCAAAAGGAAGATAATTTGATGCATAAACTAGACCATTATTTGACAGAGGATCTTTTTGATCTCTGAGAGCTGAGGCATTGCTATGTAGGAAGACAGGCGGTGAGATTTGATGTTGGTGCCCATAGCATTTTCTCTTCATATACATCTTTTAAAGGTTCGAGCATCTTCAGGTGATAGACTTAGCCACTTTGTATTCCCTTTGTATTCCATTGCCATAATAATAACTTCCTAACCCTCTTCATATCGGAAGAAGGGCTTCACACTAGACACAAAATATTCTCTCTCCAAGGTGGGATATTCTAAATAAGATTGGCCTATTCTTTACTAGGCCTTCCCAATGGGGCAATCCAGGAGTTGCCCAGCAGTTTCCAGAAACAAATATTCCTGAAAAGAAAGCTATCTATGTCGTTCTAGCCACTGGTACCACAGTGTTAATTTCTGTGACTTTTCAGTGTTTACATAGAATTGGTAGAGAAGTTCTTCAGAGTCAGAAGTTTTGATCTTGGGTGCTCTGCATCTCTGTGAACTTACTTAGACCATCACATTACAACAGGTGTAATCCAACCCTGCTGGAAAGGGTTCTGCGGCCTTGTCTTTTTATGTAAGTTTTGTCCTCTCTGTTTGGAACTGTTGCATCTCTGATACTGTTCCAGGTTCCCCGTACTTCCGAGCTTTATGTTCACAGAAGTGGCAGGACTGCCAGAGCTGCCAACGAGGGCCTGAGCTTACTACTGATTGGCCCCCAGGACTTGATTAATTTTAAAAAGATTTATAAAACACTGAAGAAGGACGAAGAGCTTCCTTTCTTTCCAATTGAGGCAAAATACATGACAGCAGTCAAGGTAAAACTTATCTTTATTTTAGAATCAACTATGTTTTTAATTGCATAACTTTTTGTGCTCATGGAGGGCTTAAAAAGTAATTTTAATTCAATTTGGGAACTTAATTGGAGAACCTGTGTATAGGAACAGTTACATAGTTTGGGTGTTTATTTTTTTGTGAGTTCTTCCATGAGGTGACTGCGGTCTGTGGTCCTGAATCTGCTCCTGAGATTATAAGAGAGAATCCAGAACTCATACCATTGGATTCATTCTTTGTTGTATAAATCTGTTAAAATACTACACCAAAGGTATCTTTGGCTTCTTGGCTCACGCACCGTCTCATTACACTACTGTTAGTCTTAAACTTACCACCACAACTGCTTCTAAGCAAGGCATTTGATAAATGAGTTGCACCCCATTTTACAACTTTTTTGCCATGGTTGTTAAGCAAGTCACTGCAGTTGTTAAGTGAATCATGCAAATGTTAAGCAAATTTGGCTTCTCTCATTGAAGCTTGCTTGACTGATGCTGCCTGGGAAGGTTACACATAGTAATCACATGACCCTGAGGCAGTACAATTGTCATGAATACATGCCAGTTGCTAAGCGCCTGAAGTTTGATCACATGACCATGGGGATGCTGCAACAGTTGTAAATATGAAAACAGTCATAAGAAATTTTTTTCAGTGCCATTATGACTTTGATCAGTCACTAAATGAATTGTTATAAGTAGAGGACTACCTCTACAGACTCATATTCAGTTGGTACTCAGCTTCTGTACCAAGATCTTTTTCAGAAATACAAATACCAGTCCCAAATATTTCACATCTTATACTGTGCATTTGATTTACATTCTTAAGAAAAAAATGGCATCTCAATAAATCATTTTCAGATCCCTGCCACAATAGTTTAATCTTTCTCTTCTGAAATATTAGTTATCCGCCAATTTTCTGTCACCTGCAAATCTGATAAGCTGTTTCTACATGTCTTTTTTAAATTAATCAGTAAAAAAGTTGAAGAGTGGAGTCCATGGGGCTGAATCTTGTGACACCCTACTCAATGCCTCATTTCACTTTGATAAGGATCAGCCGTTCCATTGCACAACTATGCAGACAAATGATTGTCCAGTCTCTTTTTAAAAACTTCCAGGGTTGGAGCATTCACAACTTCTGAAGGCAAATTGTTCCACTGATTAATTGCTCTAACTGTCAGGAAATTTCTCCTTAGTTCGAGAAGCATCCTACAACTGAGAAATTTCCTGACAGTTACAACAATTAATCAGTGGAACAGTTTTCCTCCAGAAGTTGTGGGTGCTCCAACACTGGAGGTTTTTAAGAAGAGATTGGATAACAATTTGTCTGAAATGGTATAGCGTTTCCTGCCTGAGCAGGGGGTTGGACTAGAAGACCTCCAAGGTCCCTTTCAACTCTGTTATTTTGTTATTGATGAGCCCTCTTTAAATACGATTTTCAAGCACTCTATGGATCTACTTGTGTTAGCTAGCCCCCATTGGAGCTTAGATTCTATTTCATCGTGGGAATAAAACTTTTAGCTAGAAAATTTTCAATCTCCAAAAATGTAGTATTTTTCATTGTGATTCAGTGGGCTTTCCCACTTCTAGTGGAAATAGAAAGTTGACTGCCAAGTGGTAATCCCATATCATATACCAAGAGTTTATTGATTTAATTCAGTGTGAAAGCTACCTGATTCCACACAAATACACACATGCTTACAAATTTTACAACTAAAGATCTATTATAAGGCAAACTATAATGCAGGGTTGTCAAACTCGCAACATCACGTGATGTGTCACAACGTATCGCTGCTTTTTTTCCATTGCCGGCAATGGGGTGGGCGCAGTTTCAGCATGATTCATCCAGCCCACGGGCCGGCAGTTTGACACCCTTGCTATAATGCCTTATGTAATACTAAATATACCTTATAATAGATCTGTAGTTGTAAAATTAAGATATATCAGACTGTCTCATATTCCACCTTGCTAGTTCTTTTACCCATAAGATGGGTCATTACACAACTGAGACCCACAAAGCTAAGCAAACTACTATTTTACTCCTTTTATATAACAGTGCAGAAAAGCTACAAATTATGCAGGTTGTGCTGTCTGGCTTTTCCATTCTATCATTTCAGTCACCTTTATTGGGCTTTAGGATGCTTTTTTTGTGTGTCTGATTTCTGTCTCTGTATGATTTACACATGTACATAACCTGATAGCTTAGTAACCTTCTTTTCTTCATTTCAGGAGCGTGTGAATTTGGCAAGACAGATTGAGAAGATTGAGTATTTTAACAGCCGAGCCAAGCACCAAAACTCATGGCTCCAGCAAGCTGCAGAAGCACTTGAACTTGATCTGGATGATGATGAGCTAATAGGCAAGTAGGAATGAATGTGTAGGCTGTGGAGATATCCAGAATCTTCTCTCTTAGCCAGGATGCACTCATAAGGAACAGCCACATGCCCGAAAGTGCTGGTTGCATCACAATCAGGCTACCAATTATGCAAAATCTGTGATATTATTTGGTCCCATTCTAGACGGTGCCCATGTTGTCATGGTCTCTCTTTTCATCTAAAATAAATTCAGCTGTTTTGGGACGAGGAGGAGGCTTTCAACTACAAGCTTCATTCCAATTTGGTAAGAGCAATTTAGGTATTCATGAGATGAGCCGCTTTTGGTGATTATATCCTGGAGTTAAGATGTTGCAGTTAGTGCAAAAATAATTGCAAGTTTGTTTAAGTATATCATGCAATTCAGCAGGATCCACATTTTGTTTCTCTTTCTGTGTTCTTTTAGAATACGGTTGTCAAACTCATCACTTGATGTATCATGACTCTTTTTGCATTGCTGGCAATGGGGTGGGCATGGCTTTGGTATGATGAAACCGGCCCACAGGCCGGCAGTTTGACACCCTGTTTTAGAAAGAGTTTTGGGGTGGGGAAAGCTATGTTAGAATACAACGTCATGCTATTTTAGAACTTAAACTACCTTAAAATGGCAAGAAGTGACATCATTACATTTCAGACAGCAGCTCCAGCAATATTAGCACAACTATTGGGGTGGGGGGGCTTTATGTGACCAAGGGGAGAAATTGCCCACCTTGTTCTTATAAAGGGGAGACAGCCTATATGCATTGCATAAGACACACACACACCATTTAAAACCCCTTCAGAGCACTTAACTCATATCATCAACATTAAAGGAAAATATTTGTAGTTCAGGTTGAAATGAGGGGTCCTCGGTGCTCTCTAGTTGGTTGTTTCCTTGCAGACATTTCATTACCCAAAAGTAATTTGGGTAATGAAACATTTGCAAGAAAACAACCAAATTCAGAGACCACCAAGGACTCGTCCAATACTCAGTGGCAAAACAATACATATTCAGTAATGCAATATTTCATTCTTTTTTTCCTCCAAAAATAAGGGTGCTAACAGGAGCAGGAGGTTTCTGGGAGGCAAACTATTTCTATATGGACTGTTAATACAGAGAGGGGGAGAAAGAAATGGGTGAAAATTATGTTACCAAAATTTAACTATCTTCCTGGCAAATTGCAGCACCATGATATTTAGATCACTTTATGAGATTTTGTGGCTGGAAATGGAGACACTTTGCCCCTTAGAGGCCTGCCATTCCATTGATACTGATACTAACATCAATCTTCTGAAAACTTGGAAGTCTCCTGTAGTTCTCTTGGAAACTTAGAGGTGTCTCCCCCCCCCCCCGGCTCCGCCCTCCCCGTCTCTCAAACATGATGCTCTGCCTTTTAAGATAGATAGCTGATTTAGCTCTGGATTCTTCCCAAATGAATGGATACAAAGGACACATGAATGTTAATACAGATCTTTGTGATAGAGAAGCTTGATTGAACCAGAGGCCATCTACATGAAAATTATGTGCCCTGCCATTGCGTGTTGCGCATCCTGTAATTAAGCAAGGAAGATACTTAGAAGTAACATCATATAGAGCCTACTGATTGTTTTAAATAGGAATGGAGAACATTGAAACTAGGATGTCAAATTAGGTAATTATACATCTGAGTCCTGAGTTACAGCATTGCCAATTTATATTGGTTATATATAACTAGAAAGGATGTTGTGTGTTTCTACTTGAGGGCTGGGATATTTTTAATCATTCAGACTGTGACTTCAGTAATGAACTTGGCCTTTTTATTTTTATGTGTTCTGGTTTTTTTTTAATTATAGGAGGCCAGTTCACTGAGCGAGAAGACAGCGAGAAGCAGAAGATGCTGAAGGGAATGAAGAAGCAACTAAAGCACCTGCTCAGTCAGCCAGCATTTAAAGGTCTTATGAAAACCAAATACCCAACCCAATCGGGGAAATTAATTCTATCTGACTGCATAGGCCAGCACTCTCAGTCTGCCTTGAGTGCTATATCAATAGTACAAGTGAAGAAGGTAAAGAAGAAACAATAATAGTGATACATTAAATAATTGACAGGACATACGAAGATGAAAGACAGAGAAATTTTCTTTTCCCGTTTTGTAGACATGGCTTACTCAGAGTTGCTTTCATGCACATACCTATCTTGAATAAATGATTATGATAATCTGCTACTGTTGTTTCCATATCATCTGGGAATACATAAAACGGGAGTTGCTAAGTTTTTCATATGCTGGGCACCATCAAAAAAATCTAGTACAGTAGCCTAAGAATATGTATAAACATTCACATAAAAATGCTCAGATCTTCCAAGATTGTGAAAGCTTCAAAGACTTTGGGCTTATCTTTCAAGGTCTCAGGCAAGAAGACTGAAATCTCATGAGATATTAGAATACTTGATTGAAACTTGGGGCTTTTTTAAATACTTAATTGAAAAAAATAATGGGACTTATCAGTGCTGAACTAGAGGACTCACAATTGCCATGTTTCTGATTCTTGGCATAAATATTTCCACCCAACTGATTTTTACAAATGCAATTAATGCTCAGACAGTTGTGTATTTAGCACCACATAAAAGAAAACTTCATTAATTAATAATATTTACATATGATGCATTTTGATGTAGAAGCAGTGATGATGGCAAGCACAGAATATAGTCCAGCCTTTTCTAATTTGGTATGCTTCAGTTACATTAGGAAAAGCTCTCCCAGAGTTTCAACCAAAATAGTTGGACATGCTTAAGGAGAATTCTTAAAAGATGCATTTCAAACATATTTATAGGTTACCATGCTGCGGGAAGCTGGGATAATCTTCCTTTGGATAACCTTCCATCTCTTTCTGTGCACTGTTTGTGGAAGGAATATTAAACCTTAACTCTCCAAAGAAGTACATAGATACCTGTGATCCCATAATCAACTATATAAATTGGATATTTACTTATTAAAAGTGGCCTCATTAAAAAAAAGGAGTGAAATAAAGCATTTCAGAATATGGGTAAATCTAGAAAATAACTAGATACTGCTACCATGGCTGCAGCAGTAGTAGCATCTTCTACACCAGTCCGAGAAATACAGAGTGAACAAATTCTTTGGATATGTTGAGGCACAGATTGTCACAAAATACATTAGATTTTTTGGTAATCGAGGTGCAATGGCTCAGCAATTAAAGATGCTGAGTTTGTGAGCTGGAAAGCTGACAGCCCAGGTTCAAGACCCAAGTGCCACTCGACGGGGGTGAGCCCCCATTACATGCCTCAGCTCCTGCCCACCTAGTAGTTTGAAAGCATCCAAATATGAGTAGATAAATAGGTACCACTTCTATGGAAAGGTAACAACGTTCCATGCACCTGAACGTATAGTCATGCTGGCCACAAGACTGTGAAAATGTCTTTGGAGAACGCTGGCTCCCTCAGCTAAGAAACAGAGTTGAACACCGCCCCCTAGGGTAAGAAATGACTGGGCAGAGGAAACATTTACATTAGGTTATATTTCTTTGTAAGGTACAGTACTACAATTCGTTTAACATATGTTATATTAAATACCATGGTATCTGTGGTATGCCACAGGACTCAATACTCTGCATTCCTTTTTAACACCAACATGGAGCCACTGGGTGAGATCATCCAACACCACAAGATGAGGTAACATCAGTATGCTGATATACTCAACTTTACATTTCAATCCCAAATAACCCAAGTGTTGTTTCTGCTCTTTTTGCGGTGCCTGGAGACTGGGTATCTGGATTTGGGACATGTCAACGCTGTAAACATTGGATGTTCTCGCTCTGACAACTGATGAAAATTGCAGCCATTTTCTCTTTCCTTGTAACATGCTTTTTCTGGTATTTAGAATTCAGGTGCAGAAGGTGGGGTTGGGATGAAAGTTCGAGCTCAGCTAGCCATAATAATAACGCTGTTTTGTGGGAACCCAAGGACAAACTGAAATGTTTTGGCGGGCTGAGGAGCTGGGGAGAAAACCCGCATTTTAGGCTAATTGGAGAATGTGATTTATGACAGCTTATTGGGGGTGGGAATTGCACTTTGTTACTTTGTATCCAGGGGAAGGGAATTTAGGTTTTGGGTTCAACTATGTAGTGCCAATACTTTGTTTCCTGAATAAAATGTTCTTTAAGGAAGAATTTTTGCCTTGAAGTTCTTTTGATGGGTTTCATCTATCGGAACCATGACAGAACAACAGGTGAACTCTGTTAAGATGGAGTAGCAATAAGTATGTGGAGCCTTAGGATCTGAGGATTTATCATGTTTGGTCCTGAATGGGTTTGTACTACTCAAGACAGACGCTATGCAAGATGGTTCTAGACTCACAACTCCTCCCTTGGCTCCTGCCCTCTGGAACATCTTGTTTGAAGACCCCTATTATAGATCTGAGGTGACTTGGTTAAGAGTGTTGGGTGAACATAATCTTATACAAAGTTAATGTTGCCCTTATGTAAAGCAGACAGCGAGCCCCTGAGACTGCAAATTACTTAGGGAGGTACTTTTTTCTAGGCCGCTCATATTTTCTAATTAATATTGTTACCAATATAGAACTAGTACCCAAGGGTTTTATACAGAGCAATAGAACACAAAGACACAAGCACAGCAATAACAGACAGCTGCCCCAACACATTCAATTTCTGGCAGTGCATGGAATTAGAATGTTACAGCTCAATATTTCTTCTGTAGCCTATTTCTTTACCTGTAACAATAATTCAATCAACATACATTAAAAAATGAAAAATATCCTTAATTCCCAAACAGATGTCCTAAGTGTGCCACATAAGGTGCTTTCTAAAAATTCATGATTGATAAGCTTCATTTGAAAATTTGTGAGAAGATAGCTCTTTTTATTAAAAAGTGCCCCCTCCCCTATAGTCTAGTCTGGAGGGGGGGTAGCAGCCTTTCATCTGTGACATTTTTCAGAACACACTGTTTCCTAGACTTCATTGAACCCGGTGCTTCTCAAACTTGGCAATTTTATGATGTCTGGGCTTCAACTCCTGTCAGCTAGTCCATGTCACCCTCCCCTCCCCTCCCCTTCTCCATCCAGTGGCTCCCAGGATGGCATATACCAACCAATCAACCAACCAACCATTTTCCTCATATCTTGCTTTCCCTCCCACTTCAGCTATCACCCATGTCCCACCAGGCCCTCTGCCCTTAAGATTTCAAGTTCCTTCCCTTCCCCAATGTGGCCACAATGTCCCACTTCAGCATATTCCATTGGCTCACCAACCTCCCATTCTTCCCAAAGCCTTCCTCTCTTCTTTTACAAATGTCTCAGTTTAGCCTGTCCTACTGACTGGCCAAATAATTATTGGCTTCCCAGAACATTCTCTGCCTCCAGTGAGCTACCTCTATCCCTCTCTGCTGCCCCCCTACCCAACTTCCTCCCATGAATTATTTCTGTCTAAAACAAACCAGCTTCCATGAACAGTCCAAAACTCCTCAAAATATTCCTTCAATTCAGGCACAAATTCCTACAAATCAGTTGTTTTGTCCCTGGGACAGTTCATCCACAGAACATTTTTCATAACCCTATGTCTACTGTAATATCAGCCTAAATCAATCTACCAAAGGAGCACGGCCTCTTCACTGAAGATTATGAACCATATTCTAACCCACTATCCACTACAAAATCTTATATATTTGTGTGTGTGTGTGTTTTTCAACATCCCAATGATTGGCCTAAAACCATCCCAACAACTTCCATACCAAAGGAGAACTAAAACCTGTTCTCTGTTCCCAGTCCAACCCCTTAAAACACCATACCATATTGATTGTCAGTATATCTACGTATCAATATATTTTTATATCTGTGATGAATCAACACTAGATGGCATCAAAGCATTACATTTCTGATACTCATTAAAAAAAACTGATGTTCTGCAAACACATTTAGTCCTCCTTCCTTTTCCTGTTTTTCCCACAACAACCTGGTGAGGTGAATTGGGCTAAGACAGAGAGGGTGACTGGCCTAAGGTCACCCAGCTGCCTTTCAATGTTATAATTATGTAATTATAATAATCATATGTTTTAATAACATACTATAATTATATATAATTGCATATCAACTTTCTTTTTGAACTCTCACTTTGTTACCTTACCATCTGGTGATAGGGAGGATTTGGTCCAAGATTTTCAGGATGTTTCAGGGCCAATAGAGCAGGGGTGTCAAACTGGCGGCCCGCAGGCCAGATGTATCATGCATAGGCCACGCCCACCCTGGCTCCATAAAGGCAAAAAACCTGTCTTGATACGTCCCGATACATAATGTGATGTGATCAAGTTTGACACCCATGCAATAGAGGATTTGAATGCAGGCCTTCCTTTGACCATCTCATTATATCTCTTCTCTTTGTGAATCTCTGTATTTTCCTTTAGTTAAAAAAAAAAATAGAAGGAACCCCCCACCACCACCACAATGTAATTGGCTGCTAGATTTGTTTCCAATAGCAAGTTTCCCTGATCTCTTCTATGTATAACCAGAAAAGCAGAATCTTAACAGTCTTTCTCATCAAGTCTTTCTCATCGAGTAACTTATGAGATTAGATCAATGCATTTAAAACCTTAGCTGCATTTGAAAAACTTTCCGTCGGTATCTTTTTTTATATATTTAATAAGACCTTTCTGGCTTGCCTACTTTATTAAGGCTTTACGGCATCACGGGCTTTATTAATATTAATTTCCACTTCGGAGTAATGTCTCTATAAAAGAAAATTTGAAAGAATCCTGCTTTAAGACCTTGCCCTATCATGCCCCCAATATAGCCACAAAGAATAGAGAACAGAATAGAATAGAATAGAATAGAATAGAATAGAATAGAATAGAACAGAATAGAACAGAATAGAATTGGAAGAGACCTTGGAGGTCTTCTAGTCCAAACCCCCACTTAAGTAGGAGAAGTCTTTTGGGCTTCCCAACACTACCAAGAACCAGACAGGCTTACATCAATCTTAATTGGGTTAATGTTACAGTAGTAGTTTCCCCCCTATTCTGACAAAGAGCAAGGAGGTTTTAAGTGCAAAATCTATTTGACTTTGTTATCCGTTACCTTAAAGCAGTGTTTCTCAACCTCACCATCTTCAAGATGTATGGACTTCAATTCCCAGAATTCCTCAACCAGCGTGCTGATTGTGTATACATCGTAAAGAAACATTGCCTTATAGGAATATC